CACACACACACACACACACACACACACACACACACACACACACACACACACACACACACACACACCCTTTCAATATAGATTTTCGCAAAAAAGGTTTGTGTAGTTTTATATTTCATATATAATTTTTAAGAATTATAAGTATTTTTTAGAAATAATTTCTTTATAAAAGCAAAGACTACACTACAAATCTAAGTGTGTAAAAAGTAACTACAATATATGTGTATAGATTAAGTTCCACGTAAAAAATGACACTGTATTACACGTTTAACTTTTCATGGTTACACTTCAAAAAATCCACATAGTTATTCTGGTTAACATTAAAAAAAAATTATAAACGTGTTAACTTTGGAAAAATGAGTTTTATTACTTAAAAAAATATAACTTTTTAAATTTATAATATTTTTACAAATGCAGTATTCGCCTAATTCTCTTGAGATGATTTATGCTCTGGTCATTTTGACTCACAGTGACCATGAAGGACTAATACATATTATGTATTTTTGTACAGTTAAGGCTGGGCACATTTCAAATATAATACAAAATGTATTTTGTATTTCAAAAAGATCATATGATATATTTTGTATTTCAAATACAATTTCAATGTATTTTATATTTGAAATGCTAAAAAAGATCCTTGGTAATAATCCTTGAAGCAACGCGAACAGACTTACTGGCTATATTCGGAAACGTTAGGGTTATGGCAGAAAACGAGATGCAATTGTAACGAAATGTAATTGTCGTGATCATGACTAGTTGGAAAAGTACCGAGCACGCAAAAAAAATTTGGAAGTACATCGTACTAAAAAGTATTTTGTATTTAAAATAAAAAAAATTTTAAATGCGTATGTTGTATTAAAAAATAAAACATTTTGTATACAAATTTTGGACATATTTTGTATTTGAAATACTAAAAAAAAACTTTGTATTTAAAAAATTTTGAAATTTATATTAAAAATATTATTTTATATTAAATATTTTATATTTTATATTAAAAAAAAAATATTTCGTATTTGAAATACACATTTTGAATGTATTTTATATTTTGTATTTCAAACACTTTGATGATGTATTTTGCCCAGCCCTGAGTATAGTATATATTTTTAGACGCAAAACCGATCACATATATTTGTAGAGCCACTTTTTTACATACAATTAACTTTTTACATACAATTTGCAGTGTAATTTTTAAAACTAATGATTAAGTGATGACTAAGACCTAGTAATACTATAATTACAGACTTCCACAAACATTTTTGTTGCTTCGCATTTTCATATCACAAAATAAGTTTTGAGAATTATAAACATAGTCTTTTAAAAATGATTTCTTTGTAAAAGCAAACTTAATCTTGAAGATTAACATTTATAGTACAGTGATACTAGAACTCAGCAACAATTATTCGAAGTAATTTGTCACGTCTTCGCGGTTGTAAAAGTAGCTCGTGCGCGCGTGTCTCAGGGTTAAGCATCTCATCAGGCAAGTCTCGTCTGGTTCCGAAGTTTCTCGACGGTTCATGTAACAGACTTCTTACGCAAAAGCGCTCAAGCATGGCAAGAGGTACACCGATGCGTGCGTAAGGCGGCCCGCGTGTACACATAAGCTTGTTGTGAGACGCATGATAATTATCGTGTTCCGCTGCGCTAGTTCGCCCGCCATCGTTGCACCGTGTGTTTCTGTAATAATAATAATAATAATAATAATAATAACCCGCATACATAATACATACGCAAGAGGATGTACGTACACACGATTACGCATCTATATACAGTTGCGTACATACGTATATCACGTGCGTACGATAAGGATCCTCAGTACAAGCTGCCGCCGCCTCCTATGACCCGTTTTCATCAAGATTACACAATTTCTCAACGTCTCGGCCTAAACTTGAAACTGTTATTCGCGCCATTTATCTTCTTGCGTTTTTTTTTTCTTGGAAAGTCTCGTGAGTAATGATTTTTCGAACTAAACTGACGACAGGCACGATAACGTTCGCGACGTTTACCCGGAACAAGAGTGTTATTCATGTATTATATACTTAGTCTGTCTACTCGTATAATTATCAGTAAATGCGCAATTGCTCGTCGAACGCTGTCAAAGATACGATTGTTTGTGCACGCCGTACTTTATACTTTTTATTATTCCGCTGGCGGTGTAGAATTATAAAGATCGCCTTTACCGAGAAAAGCCGCGACGTGACTCAAAATCCCGCGCTGCGATCACGTGACGCGCACCACGTGACGAGTGATCGGCACTGATTGGCGCGGCGACGATCGGGGAATCGCATATAGCCGCGGCGCGGATAAAAGCCGCGGGGCAAAGCGTCGGTTTTCCACTGTCCGATCCGGTCTGGCAAGTAACCTTGATCCTTTCGCGAGTCGTACGTGACAGCCATCGTTCGGGTGGACACCGGTTAGTGTCGATCGAGACATCGTCGAAGTAGCAAGCGATCCTTGGCAGTTTTACGAGTTATCGACGTTCCCTGCATGCGACAGGATGAAAACGTTCGTCCAAGTTCTTCTCGTTACGGCGTGCTTCGTCGCCTGTACACGCAGTTTCCCAAGTGAGTGCGATTTTATTATTCTTTTAAATTAACGTATTGCTTTATTTTCTTGTTCGTACATCGCGGATATAAAGTTCGAATTTACACAATGCGACGAGTTGTCATCAGAAATTTATTGCTGACATCAGCGTTTATCGTATTCAAAATACGTTATAAAATTTCTGATATCAATTTTTAGCCTTGCGTTGATTGCCGTGAACGTGATTATACTTCTTAATTAAGTTCTTGTCTCAAGAATTCTTGCGAAGAAATCGTTCTGTATTATTCCCTTAAGCAAAGTATTTTTTCATTTAATAATCACTCAATGCAAATACACTTGTTACAATTGAATCTGATTTAAGACAATTCTTTATGATTGTAACTTTATGATTGCAATTAACTTTTGAATTAAATACTAATCGATGATTATCCATCGTTTTCATTGATTAAATATTTTATGGAATGATATAATTACATACAATGATATAATTACTCACACACACACACACACACACACACACACACACATACACACACACACACACACAAATCTCTCTTAATTTAGAATTGCCGTTTAACTACGGTTTAGAGCTGCCATTCGTAATCCTCTCAAAGTAGTTTATTTATAACTATAAACCGGATTATTGAAGTTAAGTAATGGAATATTCTATTGTGCTATAATCGGCTCTTTCGATTCCATGGACGAAATGGCGCAACTATGCTCCAAAATACTATGTTAAATCAATAAAAGTCGATGTGATAAAAACGAATTTAAATTTAATGCCGGACAGCGAATTAATAGTGAATATTTTCAAACACATTTCGTTTATAAATCGAATAAGCAAATATTTCAGTTAGCCTGCAGATTCAAATTGCGCATAAACACATTTATTATATTTGACTTCTTGTCCTTTTTAAATAACCAGATAAGATAAGTGCACTATTCTGATATATTATATATCAAACAATCTCAGAATTATATTAATTTTATTAAATTAATTTAAACGTTTTTACGCGAATGAATGATTGAAAAAAAGGAGAGAATATAATAAATAAAAAAAATTCAAATCTTTACGCATTTTGCATTGTAATTACAATTGTAATCGTAATAATAAGTGATAAAAAACGCAATCTACATTTTTCACGCTTATTTTCCATACATCCGACGTTTATCGCGGCTCCGTTCGTTGCATTGAGCGATTCTTCGGGATTATTTGCATTCAGTTCACGACATTTATGCCGTCGTTATAAGGCGAGACGGGTGCCCCCGACGGGCGAATATCGCGATTGAATGTCAGGTCACGAAGAAATCGTGGAAGCAGATAGCACGCTCGAACTACTTAAGGCCGTTGTTTACTCGATTACAACTCGATATGAAATTCACTTCCAGCATAGACTTTGCTAATTAGCATCGGATCCGTTTTTGCGAGACGAGAACTGCAGGAAGCTCGTTTAATTGGAGCTGCTTCGTCCCCAAGATAATTGTCCGAGCGAATTCCCGTCGAACTCCAATTTATTCCTCTTGATTTTAATGTAACTTTATCTCTCGGGCCGACATTTGTGTGTCTGAAACGTTTTCAACCATGCGGAAATCTTCACAAAAATAAGTCGACTTTCGGCAAATTGCGAATTACGATTTTGTCGCTAACTTAAGATTCTCCTTTACTAGAGTTGAGATTTCAATTATTATACTTTACGTTATAATCGTTTCAACATCGATCTAACATGTTTTTAAATACAGCAATTTTTAATATAATCATTTTTCAAATATTGAGTATAACAATCTTTTAAATAAACGACAGATATTTAAATTATTTAAATGAATATTATTTATTGTTTATGAATTTTAATTTTTAAACAATTTTTATACAATATTAATAATAAACTTTCATCTCGGCTTTGTTACTTTTGTGCAGTACATTTAGGAATGTGAACGCACGTTCGTTTTCGCATCTGTTTAAAAATATCGTTTATGATTTTTGCGACGCGAGCAGCTCCGCGTCTAAAACAGATTAACGAGTTTGCATTCGAATAATTGTACATGCATAAATGCATGCCGCGTTATTGCGGAGAGCAACATTTGTAAAACAGTCTCGGAACTTTGTGCATATTCGTTGAAGTACCAAATGATAGGAATATTTTAACCAGAGGCATCGTGACACGCCACGCGTATTGCGTCATTACAGTACGCTCTAAATAACTTTGAGCGGTGAAACAACAATCGAAGTTTACAGATTGTTAATTATTATTGCAAAAGATACCGGAGAAATACGCGTGGACGATAGTTCAGCCTCGTAGGAGAACTTTCGTAATTGTTGAATCATTAGTGACCGGTCGTAGCAAGCGGCGTAAAATCATACAATCAAATTTCTTTCGTCATGGGTGAACGTTACAGCGTCTGTTATTACTTGGGTGAGAAGTATGACGCCTCCGGCGAGGTGTTTCTCCTAACGTGATGCACCTGCCAGTTTTCATGCCGCGGAATTTCACTGTTACAACGCGGTCTCCGCAGGAGAGAATGTCTGCTCTCATTACGCTCGCTGACAATCGGGTGACAGCCGGATAATAATGTAATTTTTGAGACTTCCCCGGGACGGTGACTTGCCAACAAACTACGAAAATCGAGTTTCGGTGAGTTTCGATCGTGATGACGAAGCTTCGCTTCGTTCGTCCCGCGACCGGATAGATAGATATTAGGTGAGTTTGTAAGTGTCGAACAACAACGCGAGAGTTCGTCACGGCGCGGCGGTGTATAAGCAGATTGCGCTTCATCCTATTAAGAATACATAATCGTTGCTGCTGGGTAATCTTACTATTCGGTAATCGCGCGTCGCCTTCAAGACGAGCCTGCGTAATCACCTGCAATCGTAAATCTCTTTCGTGCAACAAACATGACGTGTTTAGCACCATTGCGAGCGCGGTGAGCTCTTTGCTACACTCTTCGATTCGTTTGTGCGAATAATTGTACTGTATATCAAAATTGAAACGCAATAAAAGGAAACTTATTTACGCTTGCTAATTAATTATATTACTATTCAATTTATATGTATCAAAGAGTTATATAAGATAGACGCGTTAATGTAATGTCATAACTTCATATAAAATTATGTATAGACTTAAGTCAGTATTCATAATTGATTTTTATATTAGGTGTAGTAAAGAGAAATCCATTATTTTTCCATTCAATTTCATGCAAAAATAATGGATTTCTTTTTACTACACCTAATATATAAGATATATTAAGTACAGTTTCGAGATGTCATAAGTTAATCACAAAGCCGTATTAGCATTTTAAGACATTATTAAAACGGTTTCACAATAAAAATTATAAATATCTTACATATTTACTTTCTTATATTTAAAGGCAGCTTGAACAATATACGCTAACATTATGTACATTCGCTAAATACTGACCTACATTCGTATGGATAATTATGTGTGTCGTGTGTGCATATGTGTGCATTTAATATTTACTAATGTTGACGTACACTGACCATGTCATCTGAAGCCGCCTTAATCAGAGAGTTAATGCTCATCAATTTTACTCAACGTTATACGCTCCAAGCTTTCATAATACTGATGTACCAATATGCCTTTCATCTTGTTACATCAATCTATCGCGATTGTATCTATTAATAATAAGTATTTGTTTTTTTTTCATTCAGTACAATAGCGCGAGTCATCATATTACACACACGAATTAATTCGCATTCGTGTAAAAATGCGCCACGTAAATCATTCAGTCTGCACGACGCCAATTACAGCGGGAAAAAAGTCGTGACTAATTACTTCCGTCACCTAGTTCAGTCTCCGAGTAGTTGATTCACGTAGCATATCTATTGCACAATCCGGTAATGTCATTCTTCTTCCTATGTTCCGCATCGCGTTCGATGAGCCTCCCATCGTCGACCTCCCTTTCACCCGCTCGCTTTACACGTGCAATTGCACCGGTCGGTGCACGTGCATATATCATACTGTCCACGCATAGTACCTACAATGCGGATGTATGACGTACAGCGTACACGATAGCGCAGCATAATGATTACAGAGCAAAGAGCAATAATGTACTCTTGATCGCATACTTTTATTTTACGCCTCTTATTTTTACTGTTAAGAAATTTTTTTTCCCTTGATTTATATAATTTTTATATTAAACCACAATCTCATTAAAATATCACTTAGGGCTCTGCTGCCGCAGATAAAATTTCTGTAACAATAATCTTAAGACGTGAACTTAAACTGATGAGCCAATCAGGATACTGCTTTAGATCTACGTAATCTAACGGAAATAGAAATAGCAGTAAACTTATCTATAAGGCGTTTCAACCGGTTGAAATCTTATCGCGAGGTTATGGATAAGTTTACTGTTATTTCCATTTCCGTTAGATTACGTAGATCTAAAGCAATATCCTGATTGGCTTATCGGCTTGTTTATGTCTTACAGTCACTGTTGCGGAATTTTGTGTGCGACAGTCCTTCTTGCTACTGTATGTATGACTTACGTAGAAAACAGAAGTCATAATAATAACATACAGACGTCATCATGACCTTATCATCATTTATAAGTTCACTTTAAATTATATAAATATGTATATCGTTTTTATCATTCCATAATAAAATACGGTCCTAATAATATCTTACATTATAATAATAACACATGGACGTCATCATGTCCTTATTTATTATTTATAAGTTCATTTTATTATTATATGTCAAATTATATAGATATATATTTTTATTATTCCTGAGATAGAAGATAGAATTATAATGATACTATAGATTATCCTAATATTTCTTACTTGTCATTTGTAAGGTCTTTTATAAATGACAAATAAAATCATGACGACGTCTTCTAGTAGATCGTTAACTTGTGTTCTACCTGAGGAATGATAAAAACGATATATCTGTACAATGTGAACATATAGTATACCTTTACTTTATATTTCGCTCAGAAAAATTTGAAAGAAACGACGGAAGACATTTCTACCGAGTATCATTATTTTGCTGTACCTCTCGTGACT